ATGGCCCCGTGCTCCTAGGATCTCCATGGAGACTGGCCCAAGTGATGCTGACAGGGCATGCTGCTGGGAGAGGAGCTACATTTGGGGCTAGGATCTTGCGGAGGTGACAGTGCGGGCCAGAGCTGGGGCAGAACCACAGTCCGCTGCCTGCACATCTCTGCCTGAGGAACCTGTGCTTGTTGCAGGGGCATGCAGGCAGCAGATCACAGCTCAGCCCTGGTTCCAGCCCCCTGTTATCACCACCACAAGATCCCAGCCCTGGCCCCAAAATATCTCCACGCTCAGCCACACACCCTGCCAGCACTGCTCAGGCTGGTCTCCATGGAGACCCTGGGAGCGTGGGACCATGATGGCCCTGCACTGTCATGGGCCTGCCACTGCTGGGGTCATGGAGACCAGCCAGAGCGATGGAGGCGGGGGCTGCTGGGGAATGGAGTCCACCATGGGTCCGATCCAGCCCATGGGCCGGAGTTTGCCCATCCCTGAAGTAGACAGTAAATGAGGAAGCTGATGGAAAGATCCTCCCTTATTAGATCTCATGTTACCCTCTGAGTCTGTTTGCTTTCAGTACCTTTCTAATTATATGGGCATTTGTTCCTGTATCTTCTTCAGTTCTTTCTCTAAGCTCATTGCCAGTGTGTAACACCTCGGAGCCATGCTTCCACTTCAGCTCAGCATCTTCCAGCTTTTTAGCTCTAATTGTCTACTTCTCATTTACAGCATCGTGGTGTTGTTCCCCCAGTTGTTTTTGTCACATGCATAATCCTGAAAACACTGATGGTAAATCCTGAGAGATCTTTTTTCTCAGTGTTGCTTTCAGGGCACTGCAGTTGTGACAGTCAGTAATATGCCCTCCAATCATGTAGTTCTGTTTACTTTCCCCTAAATCTGTATGATTTTTTCTTACAGCTATTGACTAAGTACCCTGCAATGCCTCTTTCTGGTATGTCCTGAGGTAGCACCTTTGTCTTGTCCTAATGAGATTTTTTTTCATATTTAATGTTTTTTGATTCCCTGTAAGTATAAACTTAATTCATGTTCCCTCTGATTTGAATAAGTGCTTAAAAGTTCATAGGCCAGAGCCTTACCTTGTATAATGGGAGCAGCTTCAGTGGAGTCAAGCTTGTTTATACCAGCTGAAGATTTGGTCTCCTATCCCCATTTAGAATCTATTTTATAACCCCTGGGCCTAAGCATGGAATCTTAAATGTAGTTTTATCTAGTAGGTGACTAAAGGTGAAGCAAATTTGCACTGGAAACTTTGGGGCTCTTTTAAAATGGCTATTCCAGGCAAGGAATTGCTATTCATTAAGAAGTTGTTCAGTAATGCTACATTAAAAGTTAATGTGATCTGTGGATGTGTAACCTAGGGTAAGTCAGAAACTAGGGGCATGGTGGTTAATTTTACCTCTCTATACAGCAGTGATGATCCAGACACTGCATGCAGTTCTGATGTTTATTGCAACAGGGTCGGACCCAATGTATTGTAATTTGGGGTTGGACTTGATGATCTGCTAAGGTCCCTTCTGACCCAAACATCTATGAAGTTATGAAAAAAACAGCCCCCTGCCTGACTCACCTTGGCTATGTGGCTCAGGTGGCTGGGCTCCAATTAACTCAGCCAGTGCTGTGTCAACCAGAAGAGCCTTGTCAATTGGCCCAGGACCTGGGGAACATGGGCTAAGAACAGGCCTGGAGATGGAGTCACTGGGGGTGTGTACTGGTACACTGGAAACAGGTCTGGATGCTCTTTCTGCTGCCAGAAAGGATCCGGCAGTTTCCCCCAACACCAGCACACCCAGAGAAGCATTGGATGGTCATCCTGCTGCTGAGGAGTCTGAGGAAAAAATGGATGCTCACCTCACAGCTGGAAGGAGTCTGATCGCTCCCCCTGAAGCCAAAATTTCCAGGGAAGCACCGGACACTATCCCCACTGCTGGAGGATTAGGGACCCAGCTGGACTCTCTCCCTCCTGATGGAGGCCTGGTAGGAAAGTGACCCTCCTCAGGGGTGTTGGTGGCTGCCATGAGACGGTTCCATACCTGGTCTAGCGCTAGGGCAGGAAGAACTTGTGTGAGAAGGGCAACTTGCCAGGAAGCATAGGGGCCTGATGGTGGGGGAATGAGGGGTGCACTAGGCACCAGAGCAACCCATGCCCAAGAAAAGGATTGCTTAGCATGGAGGTATCATTGCCTTGCTTGGCAGCCCAGTCTGAGCCATTTAAGTTACATTATGTGTTTAGTTGTGATTTTGAAGATAAAAGGCAGCAGCAGGATCTGCATGGTCTCAATTCTCGCCGGACATCTGGCATAGAAGAAAAGACCACGTTATCAAGCTGAGATGTCACCAGGGTGATTACAACACCTGAGTGGAAAGGAGTTGGGTGTAGGGGAGGAGGAGCCCTACAAAAGTCAAACCAATGCAGTGGCACCTGGACCCTCAGGGGACCACTCATCACCACCTCCAGGCAAGTGAAGGTTCACCCTGTGGACGAAACAAAGTTGAGGTGGGCAAATAGGTCCCCTTGAGGGACCTTAAGAGCTGTATTTGTCTGGTTCATCAAAGATGGACAAATTGAGAACTGACTTGATTACAATATACAAGTAACTGTTCAGGGAGAAAATGATGGCTACTAAGCTAACAAAGGAAAGCATAACAAGAACCAACTGGTGGAAAGCTGTATCCAGACAAATTCAGATTTAGAAATAGGGCACTTTTTTTTAATACTGAAAATGATTAGCCATTGGAACAGTGACCATTGGAGCCTTCAAATCAAGACTTGATGGTCTTCTAGAAAATACATATTAGACACAAGTTATTGGGCTCATTAGAGGTATAACTGTAGAATTCCATGGCCTGTCTGTGCAGGAGTCTGGTCAGATGATATACGTATCTCCCTGGCTTTAAAATACAGTTAAATAAGTTCTCTTAAAATTCGCTTCAGTCGATGTTATTCTTTGGGAAGGGAATTGAAAAGGATTAATTATGAAGTTAATATTTGAATAAAGTACTTTGAAGTGAATTAATGATGTTCTGAAATTCTTTCAAGACTTTATTTGCAGTAAACCAGGTAGACAGAGGTAGTTAGCCATCTAGTTTAGCAGTTAACTTGGTAAATTGCCTTTTATAAGAAGAGCAGCTTTATACAATTGGGAATCACCAGGTGGCGCCAATACAGATAGTCTTATAAATTGTATTTACTGAGGGTGGGATTTTCTAAAACGGTTGAGATTTACTTCAGTATTCATATGGACCAACAGCTAGCACTTTTGAAAACCTCACCATGAAAATATAGGTAGTTAGATCATGTATAAATGCTAATTATCAGTGGTGGTGCATTTCTTTTATAGAAGTTGAATGTTTTACCAGGAAAGTGGCTTCTCTCTGACTGGAATCTTTTTAAGGTGTAGAGCCATGTGGTGTAGGATAGATACATACATAGCAAGCACAATCCAGTGTCAAAATGCTCTGATTTTCTCATCGTCTCTAGATAACATAGTTTGGTTGTAATGCAGGTACACATCATGCAGTGATAACAGATGTAGGAGCAACTGTCAAATTAGTACATTTAGCTACTTAAAAACATGTCCTTTGTTGTGTTGTGGTAGAAATCTATGGAACTTTTTATTTTCCTCACCCAGATATTGTTTATTTGGTGTGTGGAGAATGAACTACTGTGACACTGCGACAGAGTTATTACTCCTTTGACTCCATTTGGGATGTAGACCCAGCTGAACAATGAAACTTGCATATAAATAGTAACCTTTCTTCCAATGTACCTCCAAAATGCATCCTGAAGGCAAATGTATTCTTTCTGGAAGAAAGCCGATTGATATGTTTTAGGCAACAGACAGAGCACTGTGTTGTTTCACTGCTCACGCTCTTTCCAATTTAAAAAAAAATGTTAATATTTCAGAAATTCTTCCTGGGTTCTCAGGACTCATTCACAAACTAAATAGCCCTGCTTGCTTGTTCTCACTCTGAATGAACAGGAAATCATAGGAACTAAGGTCCAGCACTTTTTCCCAGCAGGGCCTGAGTTGCCAGCACTTCCCCTAAACTGAAAATAATATCTAGCTGTTTTGTTAGAAGAAGAAAAATATGATGCAATTATGGAAACAATGACTTAGAGACTTTCAGAAAAAAGCTCAAAGAAAGAAAGAATAACTGGCTTGAAGAGTCTGAATGCAGTAGCTGCTTATTCTGTACCATGGATGGTACCTACTGATTCCACTGCTTCCAAGCTCAGATCTCTGCTTGGAGCATGCCAAAAAAAATCTCTCCTTTGTCCTCATCCTAATGTGCTCCATTAAGTGTGAGGGCACCAGCCCATCTTCATACAACCTTACAACTCAGTCCCCTCTCAGTCCTGAAACCATAGGCCAGGACACAGGCAATAACAGAATCGCAGCAAGAAAAAATCACAAGCCCAGATAATTTTGGACCAGTATTTCCTACCTGATTTCAGCTGGATGAAAAATAGCAAAATAATTGCAATGTTTTATGTCATAAATATTTCTTGATATCCTTGTCTCATTTGTATTTCTGTCCTGGACAATGAAATAAAACACAACAGGTTTGGAGGGTCTTTGAGATTTTGAAAGTATCTGGCTGACCTTTGCTTTATGTAACTGAAGTATGAGGATACTAATTTTAGATGGTTAAAAACAAACAACAAAGTATCAACACGCTCCCAGACTGTAGCCTCACCAGGATGGAGCTCCTATGTGTTATACATGTTAAATATGTCCTCTTCAGAGCTGCCTCTGACTATGTGCCCTGGGCCAGGTGAAAAGACATTTTCACAAAAACAAATAAAGAAATAGCAAATGGAAATTTCCACTAGAAAGATGATTCTGCAGTTACTGGGAGGTCAGCATTATTGTGCCTTTAAAAATAGTGTCCCCATATTAATTTTTTTTCATAAAAATGCTGCAGAAAAAGGGGAAAAAAGAGTTCTTTTATGAGCTATTTTATCCTTTTTTTGTCCTCTCTTACAGTCGACTTTTTGGCAAAATACTGCATCTTCAGCCAGGAGAAGTTGGCTAAGTACAAAAGGGCTTTTGAAGCGGTAAGTGTAAATTCAGACTTCTTTTCTTTTCTTTCTTCCTCCCCCCACCTCCTGTGTCTGTAGACAGTTAAGCAGAAATAATAAGCACCATTGCTTGCAGTACACGTCCCATGAATTACTCTGACATCAAATGTAACTTTAGAATGGAGGCACGCTTTATTCTTTTCGGCGAACTGTTCCCCTATCCATTCTTTATTTACATGTCGTGAGCCTAAGCGTTGCACAGCCAGTCAGAACACACACACAAAAAAAAAAAGGAAAAAAAAGGAGGAGGCCATTAAACAAATTAAAAGGGATGGGGATGACTAATACAGTACTCTTGGAATCTGCAATTTGATTAGTCTGAGTTTAATACACAAAAGCAGCGCCGAAGCAGGAGGGGAGTCGAAGTGCTCTTTAATAACCTTCTACAATTAAATTATGGTGATGAATTTAACTATTCTGTGCTGCTAAAGGGGTCTTATTATCTGATTGACTCTGAAAGAAAGTCAGTATGTAACCAGGGTTCTTGAATCCAGCTATTGGGAGACATACAGTAGTTTTATGCTTTAACAACTGCATTTTTTTTGCATGGTTCCCCCATTTGAATTCATTTGTGATTTGAGCATGATGGCTCTTAGGGTTATTCTGACTGCATTTGATGACAGTGCATGATAACCCTTTTACTGCTGTGCTCAGAGAGCAAGGTCTAAAATAAGCTGATAGTGTTTTGTCTCCCATTCTGTATTTTCACTTTAAAATGTTATAATTTCCTTTGTTTTTCCACATTGTCTAATGATGCATCTGTTGAACATAGACATAGAGTGTAAAGAACACCTTAATATCTTTGTGAATGAAAGGGATCATATGAATTACATGAATATTAATCTTGAATATTGTCTGTAGCCTTCTATTTCTTTCCATGCTTAACTTAAGTCATGCCAGACTCCAGTCCAGAGTCACTTCAGACCAAATGTTCTGTGAAGGCTTGGAAAGTCAATGTGTTAATATAGAGTAAGAAAATATCTTCTTTAAAATACTACATTTGTATTAATGACTAAATAGCAACTAGGTTTGTTCAGTTCTTTGGCCATCTGCCCTTACAGGCTTCACAATCAGTCAGGGGTCAAAGTCAGGTAGCTGCCTTCATACAAAAGAAGAGAATGTGAAAGAAACAGAATCCAAGTGTTGGTGCTAGGGGATGTTGCTCTTTCACTAAGGGCCAGTATCCTGGGATTTTTATTCCAAAGTTTGGCCATAACATTTTAAGGATATCAAGGTAGAAGAGAAAGGAGAGACAATTGTGGTAGGTAGTTATTCAGTCAGAGCCTGATTCTGATGCCCATTTGCATGCTGAGTCATATCTTGCTCCTTACATAGTCTCACTGAAGGAAGTGAGACTGCTTGTGGAGCTAAGGCATTGAACAATACGGGTAAGTGTGGTAGAATTCTGTATACAGCGTAATGTGCTCGGCATTACCAGCCCTTGCAAACTGATGAGCATTGTAGTCCTTTGGAACAGGGAATGCTGAAGGGTTGCTTTTGTCCCATTGTACTATATTCCCTTTCCCCACAAATTATTCTGGGGCCAAATTCTGAGGCCTTTATTCAGCGCATACTGAGCTCAGTGAATAAGGTCTGATTAAAAGCCAAGGGCAAGATTGTAAATAGTCCTCTGCAGCTGTCCGTGGGTGTAGGGGGTGTGCACTATAATCCTTGAGCACATGTTCTTTTGAGCTGCTTACCTGGATTCCTGCTATGTGCACAGGCAAGTGAACAGGCCTTGCTCAATTTTCTTTCCTGAAATGTTGCAAGCATTTATGTTTTCAAAAATATTTGAAGTCAGTGTAATTTGAAGTCATCCAGTTCCGGAATAACTCTCCATGAATAGTAAATGGATGGGCCATGCAACTGAGAAGTACACAGCATTGTCTGAAAAGATGGCTTGGGCTAGCTTTGTGGTCATGGCCCGGTGTGCTGTGGTCTAGTCCCTCAGAATAAGTTAAAAGCAGTCGGAAGATTGCTTGGATTTATTTTGGCTGCCAGTTGCCCGAGGGAACTGTGAGAACAACTGAGAAAAAAGGCCACTAAGTTCCCTTCTTCAGGGAGAATGGAGGCATTTGGACTATATACTAGTTCCATGCCAGAGCCCTTTTCACTGAAGAGGTTCTTCTTCCATAACCAGCTAATCCAACTTTAGGGTTACTTTGAAGTATGACCCACTGCAAAGTGATCTCAGTACAGTTGAGGTTTGGAGCCTATGAGTTCTGCATGTCTTCCTGTACAGTTACTGCCACATTTCAGTATCCTTTTTAAACATTTTGGCCAGATCCTCAGACACTGTAAATTCACAAATTGAGCTTCCACAACTTTCCATTAGCTGAGGCTCTGTTCGTTTGTTTTTTTTTTTTAATGCAATACATTCTTTTAATGGCAATGATCTATTTTTACTTTTGTGAATGGGCAGTTGAGAGCAGCACCTTTAGGTTAAGGGCAGTGGGAGGAAAGCTTTAGCTTTACTATTTGATATTTCAATAGAACATTTCATCTTTAAACAGTAAAGTTCTTCCTCTGCTCATTAAGCTAATACAGTATTAAGACAGGATGGAAATTTCCATTATGAACTAGTGATGAAAGTCAAGCATAATGTCAGTTTTCAGCAAGATGCCAGTGAGAGATTTGGGAACTCAGATTTTAATACAGTAGTATAAAAATAAACTTCAAGCAGCATTCACAGTTTATACTTGGTGAAAAGGGGAGCTCACTGCATGAAACCTGAGGATGCTGTGCTGAGCAACATTTCCTTTTAAGAAGATTGTGCTCCCAAATTAACTTGTTCTGATGCTAAGCATAGCAGAAACAGTGCTGCTGCTAAGCAGAACAATTGCTTTTCCTTTGCAGTCTGCCTGCTGTTTTTTTCAGTCCTGCTTTGTGTTCCAACCCTTGGCTGGGTCTAGGACAGTGGTTCAATAACTGTGAAGCTCTGTGTTTAGATCCAAGCCAAATCAGTGAGACACAAATTAAGGGCAGGCAGCAAACCCTGAATGTGCCAGTTTTGTGAAATCAGTCTTTAGAATAAATGAGCTGATAGCCTGTTTTATTTTACTGTTTATGCACCCTCCACTCTTGCATGTTGACTGTTATGTATAATTCTCACATCATGTTAAATTAAAATCTTTACTGTATCATTGCAGCCCGCCAGTAAAAATAACACTGTAGCTGTGGCAAAACTCCCACAATGTTGCATATTGTTGATGACTGCCTGCTGACTAAGTTCAGTGGTGGACTACAGGAACTGCGCATAGCCACTGAGGATGCATGGCTCAGCAATTATGCACATGTTAACTGACTGACCAGTAAAAAAAAACAACCAGAACTCCCCCCCCCAACCTCCCCCCCAAAAACAAAAAATAAAAAAACCACTCACTAGCAGTAATCAAATGTATGACCAAAAAACACAAAAAGAGCAAGTTTAAGCACCTTGCTTGAAGTCAGTAGTTAAACAAGGATTTTGGATATGGATAAAGACATTATCTTTTGGTCAACATGTAAAGGAACATCATAGGATCTATATAATTTATAGAAGAACTGTTGAAAAAGGAACATCCATAATTCCTAAGTCAGGATGGAAAAGAATCATACCAAAACCTAATAGTGATGCCAAACATTAGAAAGAGGAATTAAAAGCAAGAAGGAATCTTAGAAAAGACAATCTGGGAAATTTAAATCTTTAGACTCTTCATGGAGGTTCACCATGATGCAGTCACAAAAGCTTGAATGCCCCTAGATGGAAAAGGGAGTAGGAAAACAAGAAATGCCTAGTATGGCAAAAGGGCAAGGTGTACAGAAGTATTTGGATTAAATAGATATCCCTTAAAATACAGTTAGCCAGTATCCCCCTTAAATGGTGCTCATGCGTAGTCAGGCTCCAGAGCTAGGGACAGAAATTGCACATAAACTGGCAAAAGTGATGAAATGGTTCAATTCTGTAATACAACAAATCCGTAATACAACAGTGCACATAAATTGCTTTCAAAATGGCCAAAACATTAAACCTGTAACAGAACAGAAGTGTACTGCAAATAAACCAGTTTCAAAATGGCTGAAACTAGTTTAAGGTAAACCTGGTTGAATGTAGTATCAGATTGAACTGATTTAGGTCCAGCCAGTTTATGGAGCTTCTGTCCCAGACCCTGCTGGCATTGTGCACAGATAGAAACAAAGCAACACAGGACTAGAACAGACCTCCTGGTCTCTGAGTTCAGTCCCCTGCTATTGTGTGCAAACACATCTGATGATCCCTTCTGTGAGCTGAACAAGTTGAGTCTTAAAAGCAGTTGAGCTGGTTGTACCTCTACTCCTGTTGGAGGACTGTTCAAGGCCTTCAGTCCTCTGGTAATGAAAAACATTCTGCAAATTCCCTGCCTGTTTTTTTTCTCTACAGGCAGTTTATACCCATTTGTTCTTGTGCAATGTGGCCCTTTAGATTAAACATCTTCTTCTCCCTCTCCAGTGTTTGCTGTGCTGGTATATTTATAGACAGCAATTTGATTCTCCTTCAGCTTTTATTTTGCTAGGCTAGAAAAGCCAAGCTCTTTTGATTAGTCATAAAGTAAATTTCCATTTCCTTCATCATCCTGATAGTCCTTTGTACCTGCTACAGTACATCTTTTTAAAATGTGGATAACCAGAATTGGAAACTATATTCAAGCTGAGATCTTACCAGTGCCCTGTTGAATGCCATTACACTTCTCTATTCAAAATACCTAATGTATCCAAAGGTCACAGTTTTCATAGATCACATTCATAGCTCATTGTCAGCCTTCCATTTCGTACTGCACATTCTCACCCTGTATTTATTATCCATAATTCCTGAATTCAGTTTTTCATGTGTGAGATTCTGATCTTCCTGTGTATTGATGATGCCTCCCAGTCTTGTGTCAGATGTGGGCCTGTTGCACAGAGCAGCTGGTCTCACCAGGTTTTTAACTTAGTTTAATTGCTGCCATCATCTGAGATGA